TTCCAGAAGTGATAAGAACGTTGATAACTGAAAAGCGTAAGGCTAGAGCTTGTTATCAACGCACTCGTTTACCCTCACATAAAAAAATTTACAACCAACTGGCAATCTCTTTGAAGAAAACTCTCGCTAAACACAAAAATATAATGCTAGTTAACAATCTTACTAATCTCTCCCCAAAAGACGGCAGTCTGTGGAAAGCCACAACAAAAATTCTCCGATATAAAACCCCCAACCTCCCTTTAATAAAACATAACGGCAGTCTTACGTCATCGGACTCTGAAAAAGCTGAATTATTTAAAATATATCTTTCTGAGATATTACTGCCTCATCCAGATATATTTGATCCTGATACAATAACACTGGTCAATAGGTCTCTCAATGTCCCTCCTCAATTTTCTCTCCCAATTAAACCCTTCTCTCCTAACGATTTAAAATATCAAATCCTAAAATACCCACAAAAAAAATCTCCAGGCTACGATCTAATCACGGCCGAAGTAGTTAAATGTCTCCCCAAAAGAGCCATTGTTCATATTACTCATATTTTCAACTCAATAATCAGATTATCTTATTTTCCTCTACTATGGAAGTTCTCGACAATTATCATGATCCATAAGCCAAATAAGCCAGCTGATACAACTTCTTCCTACAGACCAATAAGTCTTCTTCCCTTCCTTGCGAAAATTTTAGAAAAACTTATACTTAAACGTATCCTACCAATTATTTCTGACAAGAAAGTTCTACCGGACTACCAGTTTGGTTTTCGTTCTTCGCATTCGACGACCCATCAACTGCATAGGGTAGTAGATGCAATATCTTTTTCTCTGGAAAAAAAATTATTTTGTACAGCAGCTTTCTTAGACATATCACAAGCTTTTGATAGAGTCTGGCACGATGGTCTCCTGCATAAAATAAAAACATTTCTTCCTTCACCCTTCTATCATATAATCAAATCATATCTAACTGAACGTACCTTCCAAATACGTTACGGGTCTGACACGTCAAGTATTGGCAGTATAAGTGCTGGGGTTCCACAGGGCGGCATTTTATCCCCCATTCTCTGCAATATATTCGCAGCAGATCAACCAATCACACCAAATACATCAGTAGCAGATTATGCCGATGATAAAGTAATTATATCTATGAATGACAACCCATGCATAGCCTCCGCAAACCTTCAAACTCACCTAGACCTTATGGAGAATTGGTATACCAAATGGAGATTTAAATTAAACCATAGCAAGTCTATACACACCACCTTTACGCTTAGACCAGCTCTTACCCCTGAGGTAACTCTGTACGGTGCTCCAATTCCATCCTCTCCTTCAGTTAAATACCTTGGTCTTACATTAGATAAAAGATTAACTTGGGCCCACCATATTAGAGCAAAAAGACTTTCACTGAACAACCGCTTTCGTATCCTCAAACCTCTAGTCTCTAATAAACACACCTCCCTTTATGTCAAACTCCTCATTTACAAAACACAACTGAAACCAATCTGGACGTACGGGATACAGCTATGGGGAAGTGCAAAAAAGACAAATTTAAATAAAATTCAATTTTTTCAAAACATTGCGCTAAGAAAATTAATAAATGCTCCCCCATACATATCTAACCATACTCCCCATACAGACCTAAAATTAAAAACTATTCACGAGGAAGCCAAACACTTTTACAAAAGATTCCACAACCGTCTTTCCTCCCACTCAAATCCTTTAATTAAAAACCTTTCCTCCCTCTCAATCCCCAGCAGTCCTCCTAGACGATTAAAACGTGAATGGTGTAGAGACCTGTTACAAATTTTAATATAGAAAAAAAAAATACTAACTTATTAAATATATATAATTCATTTACATTTTTCATATAAACTATCAACATTTAAGTGTCATCATTGGGTGGCTTCTTTATTCACTTTTTGTATTTTGTATACTCGTGTTATCTGTACCCCTTATCATATATGCTTATTGTGTCGTTTGATATAGATTGTATATTACGTATTAAAATAAAAAAAATAAAAAAATTTTGTATTAATTTAAATATTAAAATAAATGTACGTGTGCACCTATGCAGACTGCTTTTATATTGAATAATAATCCAATATCTACCAACAGCAAACATAATTTTATCCTGTTAAATCTAAAAACCTTTATAAAAAATTTATATTTATAGTGATGTTTAATATATTTAATATGAGGGAAACATCTATTTTCTCCGATATAAATGCCACTAACGAATGTCTGTAATTATTAATAATTTTTAGTTTTTTGGTTCAGAAAATTATTTCTATCACTGACACTACATACATTCATTAGTACTTGATACGTGGTAGTTTAAGCTTTCAAACTTAAAACTAATTATTTGATAACCAGTTTTGTTTTCAAACACATATTGCAACAGATTCACGGTTTTAAATACCTTAAAAATGTTGTTAAATCATTTTTAATTGAAAGCAAAACGATTTTTAAATATATTTTCCTATTTAGCAGTACATGTTAAACAAAGAAGGAAACACCTAATTGATATGCTATCTTTTTTTAACACGATCGCTCGGGCAACACTGTCTAGTGAGCGTTCCAGTTATCATATAGTTCAATGTCTATGACACGGTTTAAGTATATCTTAAACCGTGGTCTATGAATATAGGTTCTATGGCCGTTGTGCGTATTTGCTGATAACCGACGATTTAATGATAAGATAATAAATTGATAATATTTGAACACAAAAATATTACCTTTTAAAAGTTCTGCTCCACCGGCAATTGTAGTTAGTTACCGAAATGATTTCGTCTTTTACTGATCAATTGTGCATTTAACATCCGTTCGGTCTAATCGAATGGAATTCGTCAGTTATTACTAATCATAATCCCTGTCAATTGTTGTCTGGTTGTTAAGAATAGTGTGAATATGGATAACACCACGGAAGTGTTTGACGATTGGTTTTTTAATTCTTTCAAGAAGTAACAATAACATTTTTCATCAACTTAGTCTTCGTGCACAAAAAGTACTGTAATAGCACTCATTGGTATAATTATATTATTAAAAACTAGATATCATAAGCTGCAAATGTTTGGCGTGGATAAGCCGGTTGTTTCCATTGAGCTGAGCAGCGATTCTTCGGTGTGTTTGGCGTGCGAAAAACCCGGAGGAAATTGTTTTGAAGTATTGAATTTAGAACTTCCTAGTAAGCTTTACCAGGTTGAAAACCAACACGATTCGATAAATACATGTAGGGATTTGAAAATCAGATGTGGTACTTTGACTGAAAACCGATTAATAGATGTAAACACAAATTTTAAGTATCTTAGTATACCTCCATTGATTTGTATGAAAGAGAAAAAAATAATGGTTAACTATTTTTCTTAATTCAACAGATGAAAACCCTATTTGGAAAATCTAAAACAATTTTGTCTGAAGAAGGGATCGGACATGTTACAATGTACGAAATGGCTCCTAACAAATCAGGTATGCATAACGAATTATGGTAATATAATCTGTTATTATTTCAGAAAAATATAGAAAATAAATATTAAATTATTTAATAACGTTTATAATGTTTTAGATCAAATGATCCCATTGGTAAATATTAAAAGTAAAATAGACAGTGGACGTTTAGCTATTGATTATTCAACTGATAAATTAGTTATATGGGGAAAAGAAGACTCATTTAACACTGGTTGTATGTTTGATATTGAAAACAATAAGAGGATTTTATCGTTCTGTAATAAATCTAATAATCCATTGGATAGTTATACACCTTATTTCATATCTAAAGATGAATTAATTGTTCTAAATTCAGAAAATGGATCATTTGACTTATATGACATAATTAGTGGTCAGCATATAAAAAACATTGATTTACCAGGTAGGTGTTTGTATGTAATTGACATTAACATAACAGACATTAAAAGATTATAATAAATTGTTTGAAAATTTTTTACTTTTTTAGTTGTTGATTGTAATGCAAAATGGTTTTCAAATACTGTGTATACTAGTTCTAAAGAAACCACCACTTTTAATTTAACTTTAATTTCTAACTGTGGAGTTCTATTAAATTATGATCTAAGAAATTTAAAAGTACCAAAAATACACCAGAAAGAATTGTTTTCAAATTGCGATAATGTTATAAACATTTGTTTCGATCCGATAAGTCCACATAGAAATGCAGTTAGTGGATTTGATGGAAATGTATATATTATAGAGGAAATGGATTGTAGTAGCAATATGAGTCACATATTCAAACATGAAGGACATATGTTCACTGAAGATGAAGGCTTATGTCAGAATAATGTTACTACTAGTTCTTTATGGCTACCTATGTGTGGAAGTAACACATTATTATCTGCAGCTCATGATGGGTCAGTCCAAGGATGGCAATATATTTCATAAAAAAAAAAAAAATTAAATTGTAACATTCTATTAATTAACTGTAAGTCTGATATTTATATTTAATATTTTATTGACAATAGATAAATTCATTATGTACTTAATTATGAGTATATTACATGTTTTAATCTTTTTTGGATTGTCGCCAGACACAACACGTATTGTCTTTAGAAGCAGTCAATATCATATCTCCTAAATAGCTTATTTCAGCTGAGAATACATGATCAATATGTTTGTTTAATATTTGTAAACATTCTCCAGTGTCTGTATCCCAAAACATTGAAGTACAGTCTCGTGATGCAGTAAGCAGATGATGTCCAGCAGGTTCCCAAAAAACCTAAAATTTTAGTAAAATTGTATTAACTATACATAGCTATTTTAAATTTAATACTTTTGACACTTCTCCTGTATGTCCAATCATTGCGGTCATTAATTCACCATTATTGGTATCCCAAATACAAGCACTACAATCGCTACTCGCTGTAGCTAATCGACGACCAACCAAATCGAAACTAACATCAAGAACCTAAAATGAACAAGTACTTATGTTTGATCTGAAATGAATGTTTTTTTAACATTATTACCTCGTCTGTATGACCTGTTACTGTATGATGACAGCTATCAGTCCTCCTTACATCCCACAACTTGGCTGTATTATCCAATGAACTACTTGCGATCATGTTACAACTAAAGTTGTAACGACAAGCACTTAATTCTGCTGTATGGCCAGATAATGTAGCGATGCAGCTGTGTACAGTGTGCATCAAAAATTAATGGACTTCAGTTTAAAAATGTCTTAATACATACCTGCAGGTACGAATGTCCCACAGTTTGATTGTGCTGTCAAACGATCCTGTGATCACCGTTGTTCCATCTCTGTTGAATTCATTGGTCACCACTTCACCAGTATGCCCTCTAAGAGTGGCTAGATTTTGGCCTGAGAATAATTTATAAATTCTGGTAGGCAAAGGTTATAGTTATCACTGCTTACTATGATTTGCAAATAGAACGCTATTCTATATTTATTTTAAAACAATGTGTACCATTGTTTAATCCCTTATGGGATTGCTATTATTTCAAATTCTCAGTAAGTTTATCTTATGAAAATGACAAAACATACTTATGTAAACCGAGGGGATACCGATTTCGGGATGTGTAAAGTGCGGACGAACTACGACGCGTGCGGTTATTGTACTCTACTGGCCTGGGACGCGGATAGTTTTTTTTTTTTTAGGAAAGACGTCGCAGTGGCGTGACGCAGTTTATTTACTACTCACGAAATTTACATGTGATATGAATTGCCTAAATATTACTCCTTAAAACATGCTGTGCTGGAACCCCCTTAAACCGGGTCCACAATCGCAACATTCGCATGTAACACAACATCGTATCGTAACTCCGTACTGTCAGGCCCGGCTCAAGGGGTAGGCGACGTAGCCCCATGCCTAGGGCGGCAATTAACATTTTAAAAAAATATTACATTTCCTAGTACCTACTCATGTTAAATTATGTGTAGTAAAAAATAACACTCAAAAAACTGTTTTGTTCTGTTTAAATTAGTAGTGGTTTACTTGTCTACAAATATATGATATTAATCTAATATAAATAATATAAATTTAAATTTATAAATATAATGAACTCAGAATTAAGTCTATTATAGTATTGTTTATGTAAAAATAATATTTGATGTAGTATTTACACGTAAGGGGTGGCAAAACTTAAGTTTGCCCAGGTGTACGTAAACGTTTGAGCCGGGTCTGTGTACCGTTACTCAGTGGCATAACTTTTGTATGGGGGGGGGGGGGGG